TAAGCACTTGGTAGGTAAAACACCCTCTCCTCCGAGGGGCTCCTGGGGCACGTCAGCACAAAGCCATACCAGCCTGCTGCAGGCGGTGACATGCTGGTGACCAAGGCCACCGTGCATTGTCACCATTGATGTTTGGCATTGCATTGTAGAGGCCCCCCACCCCCCTGTTCCGATTCACCCCCAGCTCCTGTGGTTTTCAAAGTAGGATTCAGAACTGAATTGGACCCAGGGCTATGCAGTAGATATAGGAACACAGTAGGAACCACCCTACCCTCCAGGCTCTCCTTCCCCTGGCCTTCAGCCCCATGAGGCCCCAAGCGGCAGCTCTTCAATTAGGCCATCTTGTCTAGATTCAGCATTTATCCGATGCTGACAGAGGCTGAGGAGCCAAGGCTGGGCTGGGCACCAGCGCCCTTGGGTCACAAAGGCTCATCGTCACCTGATAGCCCTGGTATAGAAGCCCTGGTATGGAGCAGAGAACTGTGGGCCGAGGGCACTGCCCTCAGGGTGTACCGCGTGTGCGTTGAGAACTCAGTGGAAACCTTGACCGGAGAGCAGACAGCCCTGTATGGACAGCATCAGCAAGGGGATTCTAGGACAGCCGAGGACGGGCTGATGGCCATCCAGCACTGGCCAGACACAACAGTTGGCCCCTGTCTCAGTAACAGCACATGTGGAAGCTGCCCATCTGGCGGAGGAAGACTGCTCCACCCCGACCCTTGTGTGCAGATGACCTGGCCTTCCCAAGAATAGGTCATAGCTTCATCCCCGGGGAAAGCCAGAGGGTGGCCTGTCTCCAGACATTTCCTGGGACTCTCCCTCAGAGCCAAGATGAACGTGAAGATTGGAGCTTTGGCCTGGGTTATGTTCTAGGGAACACCAAAAAAGCACAGTAGCCAAGATAAGTAATATTTAATGTGATATTTTTAAAAAGCAAAATCAATGCAAAAAAAAATCTACAATGAACAAATATCCTGTTTCAAATAAAGACAGGACCCATATTGATTTTTCAGTTTGTCTCAGGTTATGGAACCATTACTGAGTCTACTTAAAACTTGGACATATTTGTTCATAACAGATTTTTAATGCACTGAAACATTACTTATCTTCATTATTCAGGTTTTTTAGTGCTCAGTATGCCCTAGCCAGTGGGCTCTGGCATCCCAGCCTTATGGGCTCCCCTCATAGGGGTCTGCAAGTTATGTTTGTTCAAGTGCTGCCCTTGGCCCTTCACCAAGGGCCAGCCACCTCACAGAGGCCCGGCCATAGGGGCACTGCTGTACCTCTAGAAGCATCCTGAAGACCTCTTGACCCTGAAGGTCCATAGTGCCCACGGATCCTTGCCTCACTCTTTGCATAGGCATAATACAGTAACTTCTAAGAGTCATCGGAGAGTCCCTGACTGGAAGAGAGAGAAGCTGGGACAAGGGCTTTCCCCCACTTTCCCTAGTTGACCCCAGTGAGATCTGCAAAGTACTTCTTCAAGCCTGGCTACTCCTTCCTTGATTACCCCAAAGCCAGAGTCAGAATGCAGGCCTTTGACCCTGATGGATAATGGATGGATTCAGGGCAGGCTGGGAAGAGAGGCACACCGCTGTTCGCTACAGGGCTCTTGTTCGGCCACTACTTGGAGACCTTTGATGAGAGATAGAGGACCCTGGAGCACCCCTGAAGCAGCATTCACCTGTGACCAAAATGTCAAGCCAAGGACGGTACTCACCGCGACCATTCTGGTTGGGTCTGTACACACTACCCACGCTGAGCCGGCCCTGTTGGGCGCCGTTCCGCTCCCCACCCGGTGAGGGCGCATCAGAACTGCGCACAGGCAGGTAGGGTGGCTCCAGCACGCGGAATGGGGGTTGTGGCTCCACCGCACGCGGAGGGACGTAGGCCTCGGGAGGCACATTGGCTGCATAGGGAGGGTACCAGCCGAGGCGGGGATCACCAGCGTAGGTGCCACCGGCCCCGGCGGGGGCCTGCGCTGCGTCAGTGCTGGGATCAGGGTAGGCCTGCTCGAAGCCCGGGGTGCCTTCATTGTACAGGCTGTGCGAGTAGCGACGGTCAAGGCCGTCGGAGGGTTGGGGCTGAGGTTGAAGCTGCGGCTGGGGCTGGGGCTGCGGTGCATAGGGCCTCTCTGGGGCTGGGTAGTAGCCCTGGGCCGGGTACTCGGGCTGCTCCTCGCCGCCACCGCCGTACTCCTCGTAGCGTGCCCGGGGTTGGAAAGGATACACGACCCCAGCCGAGGCTACAGCCGCGGCCCCCGCGCCCATGCCGCCGCCCGCACCGCGGTAGTACACGTAGCCCTGTTCGTAGGTCCGCGACGCGGGGTCGTAGTTCTCATACTGGTTCACGTAGGGCGCCTGCGGGTAGGGGAACTGCTGCGGGTAGGAGGATGGCTGGCGGTAGGTGGTGGCGAAGGCCGAGGCCGAGACGGAGGAGGAGGTGGAGCCCCCGTGCCGTTGCTGGGAGACAGAGGTGCGAGCCCGAGCCATGCCTGTGCTGTCCCCGACGGCCACCTCTCGCCAGTTGTCGGGCACCTGGCCGAAGCCGAATGGATGCCGCGTTTGACCGCGCACAGTGTCCGAACCCACGCGCCCGGGCAGGGGCAGGGACGGCGCCTGCCGACGCCGGGGTCCCCCTTGGCTGCGTCGCTGAGACGTTTGGGGCGCGCCTGCCAGCAGCACTCTGGAGCTACTCTCTCCTCGCTGGGGCCCCGCGGGCACGTACTCAGAGCCCGAGTTGAGCAGGCTGTACACCTGCCCGTTGTTCTCCCACTGGATCAGTTGCCGCCAGCGTCCGGGATCCGAGCCCTGTCCTGGCTGTGCCTGCTGCCCGTGCACCAGGACGCACAGACAGGCGCCCCACACCAGGGTCCCCAGCTGGCTGCCGGCTCCGGCCAGAGCCATCGTGGCCCTTCTGCAGAGGCCAGGTGGGCAGAGAGGCTCTCAGGAGTGGGCCCCGGTACGTGCTTCTCTTCCCACGGCCTCGAAGACAGGACGGCTCCTTGCCTGCCCAGGCTCTAGCTTTGTCCATCCTGGCCTTGTCCCGAGCGGGACGGCTCCTCCGATGACAGCATTTCGAGGCCAAGGGGTCAGGGCAGGGCAGGGGCGGTGCCCAGGGCTGCACGAGGCTTTCCGCAGGGCACGGGCGGGCAAGACCTCCTGGGGCCCTTACATGGCCAGCCCCACACTGGCTGGCCGCTCGCTAGGCTGGCGCTTTCCTACTCTGAATGAATAAGCAACAGGCTGGAAGTGTCTGGAGGTTTCAGGAACCTGGTCCGCCTGCTGGGGCCTCCTCCGCGGGGCCCTATGGCCCGCCGGGTTTTAGCTATGTGGCCTGTCCCACAGAGCAGTACTCCCTCAGTCCTTGCAGCTTCCAGCCAAGCCACAGACCTGCCTCTGAGGAAGGGAATGAGGCAGAGAGGAGGAGGGGGCCCCTAGGGACTCAGCTCTGTTAAGTGAGGTTTCTGGCGAGCACAGCCGGGTTAGGATGTGGGCACTTTGTGTCCACTTTGCTCTGGACAGTTTTCCTGAACTCCACTTTCCTCATTGGCTTCACCTCTTCCCAGGCTTCTTGGGGTGCCTTCTCTCTTCTCCAAAGCTATTGCTAAGAGACATCTTTGTTGGTGAGCCTCCCTCTAGCTGGGGCCACCCTGTCATTCTGCACCCTGAGGACACTTGGCACTCGGCCCTGAGTACAACGACACTGGACGTTCAGCTCCTCCACCAGATCTCAGTCTATAGGCATGGAGACTATACGGTGTGTGTATCTCCAGGCGGAACAGGACTTGGGAGCCCATGGGCAATACTGACTTCACGCGTCCGCAGTGGGTTCTGTCCTGTGTTTTATGAGTCGCCAGAAATAATCTGAGTATACACATGGATAAGACGAGCCCAGCAGCTGGCTGCCTTGGATATGGAATAGGGTCATTGTGAGGCAGAGAAACCTCAGCCATAAGCATAAAACAGCAGAGAGGGAAGACTTGGGAGAACCATGGCTTGGGAATCTTGAGGAAGTCCCTTACCAACTCTGATCTAGTGGCTACATTTGATCAATGAAAGATTATTCCACACAGCTCCATGTGTTCTGACAGTCTCTGCTCCCTCTGGGGATGGCAAAGCCAATAAGAAAGATCCCAGAAGTTTCAACTTCTTTACTTGCTACCCAAGACGTTACACTCTAAATTCTGCTCTACAGGCCTCCCCTAGGCTGTCTTCTCCAGGGGTGGCCTTGGGAGCTGGATGGCAAAAATTACCCCTGAGACTTAGAAACCAGGGAGGAAGGACCTGTCTTCCACACCTCCATCCTTACCAGGAAACCTTTATTGACCCACTGAACTGTTTTTTCAGGACTGATGCTCCCTTTATGTGCTTGGGGACGTTAGATGTCTATAATCTAGCCAGAGAAGCAGGGGTTTGCGATGCCTCTCCTGCCGGGGTGTCACCCTGGTTCCTGGCATGACGTCTGGATTCCTGCAACAGTGACTGATGAGGCTGAAGACAAGCAAGTCCTGGCTCCATTGAAGCCTGGGACGCGGAGGGTTAAGCCTTCCCTCCCTCGTCCTTGCCCCCCTGCAGTGTTGGCCTCAGCTGCTTAGAATCCCTGGGGTCCTGTCGGGCCTTGCAGCCAGCCAGATGGGCAGCCGAGGGAAGTGGAAACAGGCCTTAGGGTACCTTCGGCTTGGAGGGGAGGCAGGTTTGAGGGAGGCTATGGCGTGGTTTTGAGGTGGGGAGGGGATTAACAGGACCCTGTTTTGCTGGCAGGGTGGGCTGGGGGGAGCGGGGGG